TTGTGAAACAGGGTGCTTGAAGCCGTGGTGGATGGATGCAAAAAACATACTGGCAGCCCCACAGTCCCTGTTATACAGATATCAGGACATGCAAGTTGCTGCTCTGTGTCTCACAGAGCAAACTAACTGTGTGTCCCTGCAGTGGCAAGCAAGACAGTGCCAATACATGCAGCAGAATTTGTCCAGGTGGGAAATATGAACTAGTGGAGTTTAATCTGAACAGCCCAAAGTGATGCAGCTCTTAATCAGGCCAGTTAGTAACCATTCCGAAGCGACCTCTGTAGATATTTCATCTTTAATTTAAAACATGGAATAAGAGCTATGAGATATAAATGTTATAACCTCTCCAAACCAGGAGAGGTTTAAATCGAATTCTCTGCTGTTGGCCATGTTTCCATTCCCCCACCTGAATGAGTGCACTAGTGTGGAAAGATACCTTGTACAGGTGACAAAATAAAAAGGTGTCTATCTGTTATAACCTCTCCAAACCAGGAGATACCTGGAAAGATAACCTTGGAACAGGTGACAAAATAAAAAGGTGTCTATGGTAGTCTTAAAAAAAGCTTCATAAGGTTAACCAGAACACTGTTGTATCAGAAGCCTGAAACAAAATCTTTGCATTTTATTTATTTACCTCATTTCCCTCTCATTTTTTCCACTTTTGCTCACAGGTTTGTAACCTACTCCGGAGAGCATCAGAACAATGTCCTACGTTTTTGTAAATGACTCTTCGCAGACAAACGTGCCGCTGCTGCAGGCTTGCATCGATGGGGACTTTAACTATTCCAAAAGACTGTTAGAGAGTGGGTTTGACCCAAATATTCGTGACAGTCGGGGCCGAACTGGCCTTCATCTTGCAGCAGCCAGAGGAAATGTAGACATCTGTCAGCTCTTGCACAAATTTGGTGCTGACCTACTAGCCACTGATTACCAAGGTAACACAGCCCTTCACCTGTGTGGCCATGTGGATACCATCCAGTTTCTTGTTTCTAATGGACTTAAAATTGACATTTGGTAAGTCACTTTTTTTTTTTTATTTACAGCCTCATTTTTATAATGTATTAGTGTTCTGTCTCCAGAGCATTGTATATACAAATTGGTTGCTGCTGAAGTGCTATATTTAGCTCAGTTCAATTTTTTTTAAGATACCACATAATAAAAAAAACAAAATAAAAAGACAGGAGAACAATAAAAGGCCACTCTTGCTGGTCATGTGCAGCAAACAAAGCAAATAAAAATAGCAGCTGCTGATCTGGCCACTATGTGTAATTCCACCTCTCTGATGACATTGCAATCCTAGTTTGGCCAGCTGTCCAGATGTGAGGTGTGACCAAAGAAGAAAATCACATTGACTACTTTAAAATAGTTTACTGCATTTTGGATGTTTTAATTTTTCCACTGTATAAGACAAACTGCAGTGATGTGTGCATCTCTTCATACCCATACTCCTTTGGTGACCATGATTCCTTTCAGTGTTCCCCTTCCTCAAAGTCTGTGACTCAGTCCTCCTTTTAATTATTGTGTATTTTTCCCTTCTGCCTTCTAGCAGCTGTCAGATGTGAATGCTCACATGCAAGCTTTCAAGCTGCAAAATGACTAGTTGTTTCAATGCATCAGCTACATGATTCTGTCTGTTGACTTTTTTGCACATTCCTAGCGGGCGAAAAACACCAGTAGTAAATTCAAAACCTCTGAGTCTGTCATCTCTCCCTTGTCCATGCTTCTAGCTTGGCAAAACTAGTTATTGGCAGACTGAATTCTTTATGGGTTTCTGTTGTTATGACATATTAAAGTGAAAGATACTTTTTGTTTCTTTGTTTTCTACAATCAATTATGCTCTGCTTTTCATGGGTAGGTGTTGCCTACTGTCTCTTATATGACAAAAATTAGTTCTGAGGACTTAAGAAATTCTACGCTGTCTGTTATGTTGAGCTGTCTTGTTACAAGACTTCTATTTTAAAAACATCTTTTCTTCCCATGCCCCTTTGTTTGGGTATTTTAGCAATCACCAAGGTGCAACACCCCTGGTTCTTGCCAAACGAAGAGGTGTGAACAAAGATGTCATTAGGCTGCTGGAGTCTTTGGAGGAGCAGGAGGTGAAAGGATTTAACAGAGGAGCTCACTCCAAGCTGGAAACCATGCAAACTGCGGAAAGTGAAAGGTATTTACAAAACAGAAAGAATGATACATATGTAAAGTATGTCTGTATTCCTAAAGGTTTATTACTTTCAGATTTTCATGATTTGACTTGCTTATTAGTTCCTCTCAAAACACATGTCACGTGGCCTGGTGTTATCAGGCCAAATCAAAATCAAATATTAGGTTTTGGAAAATTTTCTTTAAACAGACAAAATGTAAGGGAAAACAAACTTTTCCTACTGAGATTATCATTTTCTGATGGAAGCAGTTTTAATAATTACTGATTTTTCCATTAGAGTCCCAAAGAAGCAGATACTCTTCAACTTACCGGGTAGACAGAGGAAAAAATGGGGCAAAGTACAATAGCAAAGACTAACCAAACATCCTTTTCCTATGATGATGTCAAAGAATATGTACAAAGAATAGATAACAGACTTTTCATCCGTTTGAAAATGAGTATTTAATATAGTGTCAAATGTGAATTTTCTACTGGTAGTGGTCCTGGAAAAATGGAGAATGAAACGAAAACTGTTTCGTGGCTAAAGAGCTATTGATAATTAGAGAATTGGTAAGAGAATTGCTGACAATTTCAAGCGCAGTATTGGGTTAGAAGGAATTTATTAATGTAAATACTAATGAGAACTAAAGTTATGATATTAGCTCAGAAAGAGGTAATGCGTTAATGGTACTGAGAAAAAGATATATAGGCAACTTGGAGGAAATTTGGAGTGTTTTAGACAAAAAGGTGGATGACTAGGGAGAGGAAAACAGTAATAATGAATTGTGATTCAAGCTCAAAATGCAGCTTTATTTACTTAAAACCATATGCCATAAAGTGGAAATTCCTCAGTAGAAAATGATGGTGCAGTAAAAAAGGCTTGGTGTATTATTCAATTGCAGGAGGTAAAGCTACCAACAAAAGGGCAATAAAATCCTAGAATGTGCAAGGTGAGATGTATTCACTACATGGAAAACTGTTAAGTGTCACTGCAAAAACAACAATAACTCCTTAACGTGTAATACGTTCTATAGTGCTGTTTATCCCCATTCAGAGAAGTTGCATTTATCCTGTAATAAGGGTGAAGAAAGATTTGTTGAGTGATTAAGGAACAGAAAATCTGCCATATAAGAGGTGACTATAACTTGTTTTGGCCTGGCAGAGTGAAGGTTGAGAGGTGCGTGCTTGCTGTCTAAGAAACACTGTTTTTGAACATGTAAAATAGATGTTTAAGACAAAAGAGTCTATCACAAGAGGCAGAGAGAAAAAAATTGATTGAAAGTTGAGGGAGTTTTTCTACAATGAGGTTCCAAGAGAACTTTCTTGCAGGATTTGGATGAGGCAAGAACCTTTACAAGTTTTAAAGGATACTAATCCGGAAACCACCAAATTGCAAGTAAACATGACAAAGCGTGGGAGTGAGATTAACAGCAGAAGACATCCTTTCCAGTACTATTTTCCAAAATATATATATTGCAAGCCAGGTTATTACATTGTTTGAAATACTTGCTCTCACACTGAATTTATCCAAACACTGATTTTTGTTTTTAATATTTTCTAAATAATGATGAAAACCTGTGACTGCTGGACATGCTATCACGAAAGGCAGGGAGTCTTGTCACATGATTTTGGTCCAGTTTGTGTCAAAATGTACACAGCCTTCACTGTAAATGATAATTAAATTGTCTAGATGAAATTGGTATCTGAAAATTGAAACTAATAATAATAAGCTAATAATAATCATGCAAAAAGTACTCCCAGCGAGCATATTGGAAGTTCTTTCTTACATATCAGGTAACCCCCCTACCTCCAACTCATCACAGGGACCATTTTAAAATATAAAGTTAGATATTATTCTCCAAATTACATTGGTATTAATTATTAGAGCTTGTGCATATTGCTTTTCTGAGTCTTACTAAAGCTGTCTGGAGTTGCTTGTGACACAAAGTGCTCCTTTTGTTTTAGTGTCCGAGACAAAAGCTCAGCCCCGTTTTCGTTCTGGTTTCGGCTTTGGCAGCGTCTCCTCGCTGAGCGCAGCTTCCTCTCGGTGTTTGACCTTCCTGATGTGACATTTGCTTTGGCAGGGAAGGCAGCCGCCCTCCTTGGGCGCAGACCTGCGAGCAGGGCACTCCCCAGCTTGGTTGCGAGCGTGTTGAGAATGTCAGAAATACTTTAAAAATAGCATGTTATGGATGCTGACAGCAGCAAGTTTGCTTTGTAAATAAATAATGCCTTTATAACAGCTGGCTTTTCAGACCTCCACGGTTTCACTCCTCCCTTTTCTCATTTTTTTCCTCATTTTAGAGACACTTGAAGTGTCTCATTTTCGTTTTCTTTTTCTTTTTCCTTCCTTTGTTCTCTTCTGTTATACATGAACCTGTGGAAAGTTAATGGTTGTGCTGAACGTGGACCATGAACCTCACTCTGGAACAGCAGTTCTCTGCTTCGTACCGCACACGGTTGCTGCTGCCCTGGGAGTCCCCAAGTCCCTTTTGTGGGTGCTGGCCCTGCTCTGCCCTCGTGCAGGAGCCCTCCTACAGCCCAGCGTGACCCAGGACTGCCCACAGTGCACCCACGTGGGAGCTTTGAACCCAGCCCAGCTCTGCTACATGGCACAAACTCCTCTGCAACATGCATTGCTACATTGGCATTTCTTCATAATAAGAAAAATACCTTGAATTACATACTTTGAATTTGGTTGCAGTATAAAATACCCAAAAAAAGTTTTCTCTGTACCCTTTTCTATTTAATAAGCAAGCATGTGATCGATTCATTTAAATTGCATTGCAGCACCTTTATTTAACCTTTCTGTGGTTATGCATTAACTAGTTGGTACTTAATGAGAGCGTGGTACTGTTAAACACCAACAGTTTCTCCTGTACAACCCTTTGTTTTGCTTGGGAAGTCGTAATAAGCGAGGAAGATGACGAATTCCTGCAAGCTAAAATAGCTTTGCAGCAAAGCAAATATTTAAGAAACAAGTTTTAATAAGCACGTGTTTAATGAGCAATTTCTGATTTTTTGTTTTGATTGCATGTGACCCTCTGCTACTTCAGCAAGCTATGGGAATTAAGTCTAATTATTCTTCAGGGCCTCCTCAGAATTATTATTCTGTGCTTCCTCAGAAGAAAAAAATCCAAAAGAATGGTGTGAAGGTTTCTGCAAAGTTTTCCCACTGTGTAATAGTAGAAGAGAGATTCACAAATGAGAGTTTTTTTCTAATAACAGTGTTTTGTCAACTTATTGTTGTCATCGAGAACAATAGCACTTATTCATCTGCTTTTGACTAGGAGATGACTTTTCCCTGAAATCTCTTGTCTTATTATGGGAGTAAGAGGTACCTAGGGAATATAGTAACTGAAAGCAATTAGAAGAGAGGAAAAAAAAAATGTTTTCACTCTGCTTACCCTAAGCTTTTACATTGCTGTACACATAGGAGCGTCACCATTTCCTTTCGGCACTGTCAGAGCCTGGTCATGCAAACACTTCTCTAGGTAATTACACTCAAGTGAGAAGCAGCAGGACCGTGTGCATGACTAGAATTGTACATAAGTGTTTATCCAGTGAGGAGAAAATTTTCCTGAAGTTTATGATGTGTCATCCAGGAACAGTGAAACAGTTTTATAACTCAATTGTGAAACCAATAGAGTTGGGAGCTTGATATAAGAAGTCGTGCAGCATTCGAAACAACTTAGGTTTTTGTCTCAAGATGATTCATTGTCAAGATGCCTCTGACAGTCTAATTTCATGTTTTTGTCTCATGTAAAAGCGAGAGCTCCAATTCTTAGTTTGTAACCTCAGGGTCTGAGGGACCTGATGGGTTGGCAGCAAAATGTGAAGGCATCAGAGGAGGTGCTGAGTGCTGCGTGGCAGAGAGCACAGCAGCACGAATGCATCTTCTGCAGCAGAATGTTTCAGAACTTCGTTTTTGTCCAAATATATTGTTTTCTCTGATATGTTTATGCTGGAGAAGAGGCCTTGTAACAAAGGAATGCAGGAGAGTAATGACATTTACTAGCATGTCTATTGGTCATGGTTTCTGTTGCGTGCAGCAGACATCACAGAAGTTAATATCTTTTCAAATAATTCAGGTTTAGAGTTAGGAGACTTTCTTGATTTAGCAAAGACAACGCTATAAATCTCTGTTGTGGGTTCAGATGTTCATTTAGGATGTTTCAGCTGCTCTTAGCAGGCTTGCTGTCCCACTCAGAGGTGTTCTCTCTCGCCCTGTGTTTCCGCTCCTTCGCAGTGCCATGGAGAGCCATTCCCTCCTCAACCCAAACCTGCAGCAAGGCGAGGGAGTTCTGTCCAGCTTCCGCACGACGTGGCAGGAGTTTGTGGAAGACCTGGGCTTCTGGAGGGTGCTGCTCCTCATCATCGTCATCGCTCTCCTGTCCCTCGGGATCGCGTACTACGTCAGCGGGGTGCTTCCCTTCGTGGAAAACCAGCCCGAGCTGGTGCACTGAGGCAAACGGGATGTGCACTGTGCTTTGCTCTGCTCTTACCTTATTTTGAGCTTCTTGGAATTATCTTCTTGGTGCAGGCAGTGGCAGCTGTATATACTGTTTGCCTTTTGTACTTACTATACTGTTTGCCCTTTGGAAAGAGGGATTAATTCATTTCAACTAAAACACTAAATTCTAAAGCATTCCTGAGCTACCTCTCACTTACCTTGACTTGTAACAAGATGTGTAGATACGCGTCTCTATTGCTAAATTATTAAATTATTATTATTAGAAAAGGCCTTGCATAATGACTATGAAATTCTTGAACAAGAAATATGTATCCTAGTACAAGACCAAGTGATTTTATTTTCCATCTGAAAAGAAATAAATGTGTTGGAACATTTTTTTCTGTTTCAATTGAAAGAAAAATAATATTGTAAAAGTCCTTCTTAAGTTATCAGAATAATAGTATACCCAGATACACATACAATATTAGGCTGTAACTGCATGGTTCTTTTAGCTCCTTTCCCAAGTTTCACATCTCTAAGGTTATAAAAGGAATGAGAAATATTTGAAACCTTACTACATTTTTAATGTATAGATCACTCCTTTATTTATTAGGTTAATGTAGTGTTTCTTCCCCAGATGATTTTGATGTTTGTATAATACCTGCCTGAAGCAAATTTTGTAAAACAAAGCTGTAGTACTTGGGAAGCAAAGTTGTTTCAGCTTTAGGTTTTAAAATACACCTTTTTGTTGAAATTTTCTTAAGCAAACATTTCTTTGTAAGGGTGGGTAAAAAAGTGATTTAGATGTTTTGCTCTGTATCCAGCAATTCTGTAATGCCTCATCTTTGTGAAATATTATGTCATGAAGAGTAAGGATTGTTTTGCTCCACAGAGACCAAACCGAACCATGTGTTTGTATCATTTTCACATTTATTGGATGGAATTTCTTTAGAGAAATATTTTCCATTGTGGTTGTTTTCAGATAGCACTCACAAGCTCGTGAAGTATTTTTCTGAATACAAAGAATACAAGTATTTAAAATGGTAATGCGTAGAAATGTTGTATGTCATGATATCCCGTCCCATCCTGTACTTCAGTGGTGAAATCTTCTGTTTATTTGTTCATAATCTGTGGATATGAATCTGTCAAATACTTTTAAAAATAGTTTTATGAAGATATTATGCAATAAGCTATGTAGACTTTCAAAGAAGGCAGATTTTTTTCCTTCCATGGTGATTAGTTATGCAATTCCCTTAGTTGTCCTTGAAAATTCCAAACAAAATGAATTCTGCAAACCTAATAAATCTTTCTTTTTTCTTTTAATGACTCCTAAAGTGTTGCTATGTGAAATCAGAGATTTCTAAAATTCTAAGTTACAATGAGTAGTGATAGAAGTAGCTGCCCCTCTCTATTCCCTTTACCATGTATTTATTTTTTCCCATGCATGGGTTGAAGAGGGTTGTTGTCTTTGTTTTCAGGATATGACAAGGGTTTTGTTGAGGTGGGTTCCATTCTAAATTGCATCTGAACGATTCTTGACCTTGTTTCTTCAGTTAGAGGCTAGTGAAACAATAGCTTACTGGCAGCTGCAATACCACAAAAAGGAAAGACTCTTAAAAACAAAGAAAGGCCTACTTCTTTTCTGGATGTTTCTATTATTATACTTTTGTTTGTGAATAGAGAAACATAAGCTCATAGTATATCTAAACAGCATTTACTTTTCCAGGTAAATACATTTCTGTTAATAATACTCTGTATCTCAAATAATCAAGTTTTTCTTCAGTATGTATTCCCTGCCTAATTTGTAATTGTATTCTCAGTATGAGTAAATGACAAAGTAAATAAATATAGCAAATGTGTTTTCCTTTTTTACCACATTACTGCAGTGGTGATGGTACTTCCCCATTTTAGCATGGGTGGGTTTTTTTGTTTTTCTTTTGTTTTTTTTTTTTTTCTTCTGATTTGCATTGATAATGAACATTTTGGAGGTGGGGAGTTTCCGTTCCTGAGAAATGGAAACCACACTGATGCTTTGTATAAGATTTTAGAACACAGTTACTGTAGAGTTGCCTGGTTTATCTTCAGTATAATTTTTAGTGAGGTATTTTCTCTCTGTTGTGTAAGACACCACATTTTCAACCTGTGGTGTTAAGGTCCCCCAAGATACAAGACTGCTAATAAGGGTTACGAAGGATAATTAAAAAAATAAACTTGCGTCTTTAATAGCCTTCCTGACTTTGCTGTAGAGGGGTACCACCAAGCAGTTTTGGAACTGATTTTTGAAAATGTTTGACAAAATCATGCATTTGTTCTATATTTAATATACTTTGTTTTTAAACCCCAGCAAATCCGAAGTACTGTCTGAGCTCCACTGTGTGTGACTGCTACTTGCTGAAAGAAGAGCACAGGAAAAACCTGGCTCAGAGGGGTTTGCTCTGGATGTACCTTTGTTACTGAAAAAGAACAGCTCTGCCTTTCCCTATATCCATAACCAATAAGAGCTCCCATCCCAAAGGTTGGTTCTCAGTGGTGAATAAACCTCCTGTATACCAGGATTTAAGGAATACCCCCTCTTACTTACATGGGCATAAAAAGAATTTGAATCGGCTTTCTCTTGAAGCTGTTGTCATAGTGAGTTTCAATATTTAAAAATTATAGCAAAGATCAGCTTGTATTGTCTGTATTTCAATAATATTTATGATTGAAGTAGTATCTAAATCTGCTCCATTTTACAAGGCTCTTCAGGTCCAATAACTTCTTGTCTCTTATCTCAGGCTAATGAGATCAAATGGAAGAGGGAAGCGAGAGAGAAAACACTCCTGGAGAGATGAAATGATTCCTCTAGTGCCATAACAAGTTCATGAATGAGAGAGTAAGAGAAGCTGGGTGTGAAACTGAAGCACATATGTGACTGTAGGGGCTCTCCCTGTGTTCATATTTATTCCATGGCAAGATCACACCTATCTGGTTTGTTTTGGGGTCTGCAGTTTCATTTTTATCATGAAATAATCTCACTCTGACTGTTTTGATTTTTACTTATTCAAGAAATGAAATCAGCAGCAGATTGTAGATGAGCCAGGTAGCTCTTTTTCTGACCAAAAAGTGGTCGATGGAGAAATGTAAATAATTTATTCAGCAATTCAATGGTACTGCTTTAAAGTAGTGCTAAAAAGTGAGCATTATGAATGAAAACCATCCTGCAAGCTCAAAAGAAAATACAGATAATGATGCCTCTTGTCATACCCAGAATTTTTCAGAAGTGGAGCATGTATTTACAGTTCGCTTCCACTTTAATGTTCACCTTGAAATTGAGCAGTCACAACACAGTTGGGTGTTGTGACTGCAACTAGATCTGCTTAGGGGCAATTGCCTTATGCTGCCTAAAGCTGCCTTTTAACAAACAAGATAAACTCAGTTAACATAAATGATTATTTGTTTCTGGAGCCACTGGTTTCACAGGTTGTTCTAGTTGTCGAAGCCTGGTCTTTGTTAAGTTATCCCTTAATTCATATTTGTATTGAATGATTAAAATAAGTCTTCCATGTTCCAAGAACTCTTACATGACAGTGCTTTGCTTTTTTTCAATGTTCTTTTCTTCTATTTCAAAATCCTTGTAGCCTGAGTACTTAGAATCATAGAACCATAGAATGCTTAAGGTTGGAAGGGACCTCTAGAGATCATCTAGTCCAACCCCCTGCACACGCAGGGTCACCTAGAGCACGTGGCACAGGACTGCGTCCAAGCGGGTTTTGAAGATCTCCAGAGAAGGAGACTCTACAGCCTCTCTGGGCAGCCTGTTCCAGTGCTCTGGCACCCTCACTGTTAAGAAATTTTTCCTTAAGTTCCTGGAACTTTTGATGATTCAGTTTCCTCTAGTTCTGTTGGTGGCCACCACTGAAAAGAGACCAGCACCATCCTCCTCACTGCTTCCCTTGAGGTACTTCTAGACACTGCTCAGGTCCCCTCTCAGCCTTCTCTTCTCCAGCTGAACAGGCCCAGCTCCCTCAGCCTCTCCTCATAGGGCAGATGTTCCAGGCCCCTGATCATCCTTGTGGCCCTGCGCTGGACTCTCTCCAGCAGCTCCACATCCCTCTTGTCCTGTGGAGCCCAGAACTGCACACAATACTCCAGATGTGGCCTCACCAGGGCTGAGCAGAGGGGCAGGATCACCTCCCTCGACCTGCTGGAGACGCTCCTCTTAATGCAGCCCAGGATTCCATTGGCCTTCTTGGCCACGAGGGCACACTGCTGCCTCATGGTCAACTTGTCGTCCACCATGACACCCAGGTCTTTCTCTGCAGAGCTGCTCTCCACAAGGTCGGTCCCCAGCCTGTACTGGTGTCTGGGGTTATTCCTCCCCAAATACTTGGGATACACTCTGAACTTTCAAAACTGATCCAGAATGTTCTAGAAATTGCTGTTGCAAATTCTTAGTACATTTCTCATCATGCCCATTTTTTTTTATACCAGCTTTCTAGAACAAGTCCGATATCATTACACATTTTCATAACCCACACTCCTCTGGAAAATTGTTAATTGTCAAAATCCTCTTGAATTATAAATGTCAAGCTGCATTAATATTATGAAATTCATTTCTGATGAGGGCAGAGAGAAGCCTGTAGCTCTACTTGCAGGTAGTGCAATGCCTTTGTTAGCTTAGTACTTCAGCTGAATTTGTGTCTTCTGTCATCTTTTGCACTGGTCTTAAAAATGCTTCCCAGGAGATCTGCCATAGTGTCTGCCATAGGTGTTCATAGTAAGTAAGTCATTAAACTCCCACTATCTTCTGGTGACTGTGATGAGACAAAACTATTGCTCTTCATTTCTGGCAAGGGGAACTGGAAATCTGTGATGCTGTCAGAGGCAACAAAACTAGAATTTCTTTTGCAACCAAACATGAAGAAGTGGCTAGCGTGGCTTCAAATAGCTCCTTGTTTAGGCTTTGGATTTTAAGCTGCCTTCTCCTGGATAACGAAAAAGGAGATATTTGGAAAAGAACATGTGATGTGGTTTACTGTATGCAGGGAATCTGGGTCTGATTTGTGGTACAGTTTGCAGAAAAGAGGAGGGAAACAAATAAAACGTCCCAGACAATGACATAGAAGGCTGAGCAGTGACAAACCTTTGTGAATTAGTGCTTACAGGCCCCTCCGACGCGTGCAAAAAGTGCAAAGAGTGACCAGTAACAGGCCCCTAACGCGGGGAGGGTTTCGCTGGCTCGGTTTACTGCCATTGCTAGGGGTGACATCCCTCCTTGGCCGCA